ATCATCATTAAAGGCTTGCCGAAGCATCCCAACAGTTTCGGCTGCAGTTTTCCCTAACAGAAAGCAAAATTTCATGCACACTCTTTGTTCCTTCTGGTCGGCCATCTCACTAATCACCAAAGGGTTGAAACAGGAACGCACACAACAGAGCACCACAGACACACCACTTAACTCAGACTGACACCAGCTCACTAACAGTCGCGGGAGACCCCCAGCTAACACCACCTAGCAGCACAACTCGTAACTACAAAGAATGCTTGTGCAACAGGTCATTTCCGGTTATTTTTGGGTCTCCCTTCGTATACAGTAAAATCTCAGATTTTTGTCCCTGCAATATGCATTTTCCTGTGATTTACATGTACATAACTTTTTAGTGCCATTTATTTCTTCCCATTTCACGGTTTTAGTTCCTGCAAAATACATGTCACTTCATTTGAGTTCCCTATGTTTTGTGCCTCTTTTCTTTTTGTTTACTTTTTTTGAAGGGGGGATAAATGGTCAACTTATCTTTTCAACCCTTGGCTAAGCTGATGAATGAGTCACCAGCTTCCAAACATCATTTTAGCTAATGATATTTGACTGTATTAAAGTTAGTCATTTTTATTATTTTGTCCATTAGTTGAGTGTGCTGTGTGCACTAGAGACATTTTATTTGAATCTGTGTTTGGCAAGGCATAATGGCAATGCAGGGTGAGAGGAAACTGAATTTACTGGAAGAAAAGCTTAGCATTATATGGGACTTCAAAAACACAGGGGGAACTGGTACTTCCATTGCAAAACTGCAAAATCTGTATCAACTCCCAGCACAACTGTAATAAATGAAAATGCAAATCAACCTATTCAATCATCATCAACTTCTAATATGGTGGTAACCTCTTGCTAACAATTCTGCCACCTCCACTTTCATGTTAGATGTACAGGACACTAAATACTTCTGAGGCAGAGGATATGATTTTACTTTATGTTATGAAGGTATGAGAATCTTAGATTGCAGGCATAAGTATCATTAAAATAAACAGTCAAATCATCCACACACATTAGAGTTTTAATAATTTGGAAATAATGATGTTCTACTCTCGGTACATATATTCGTTACTTTTATACACAATTAATAATAAACATTTATTTAACTTTAACAATGAGAATCACAAATATAAAACTACAGCCCTCAATAATTTATATTTACCAGCAGTTAACCTAACAAAATACAATAAAGGTGCGTACATATCAGGTATTAAAGTTTTTAATCACCTTCCTCAAACAATAAAAATGTTGGCTACTGATGAGAGAAGTTTCTAATCATCATTCTTTTTATTCCATGAATGAATATTATGAACATAACTGGTCATAAGTCTGTAAATTTGTAATGTATTTAATTTAGTTAATATAGGTAATTTAAATAAAATTGTATTAATTCAAGTTTTATAGTAAGTTGTTTTTATTTGTGTTTAATAATTAAAATCTTTTTAAATTGTTTACTTTATATTATTTATGTTAATCGATTAATGTAAGTGATTTTGATTATGTGACTCAAGTAATTTTGTATTTTGATATATCTATTTTCAAAAGGGACAATTTCCACATCCTAGGTTTGTTACCTGTATGGATATATGGAAAATAAAGGAAATGAATGCATGAAATGAATGTTAGAAGACAAGAAAGAAAGCGATTATATCTTACGTGGCATTCCCAGAGGCTGCCCCAGGAGTGGCACAGGGGCTGTCATGTCTCCGACAGCTGTCTTCATGTCCAGACTACCATATGCAATAACGCCTCTAAGCATCAGCTCCTCTCTCTTTATCTCCTCTATAGCTGACACAACAGCCCGTGCCTTGTCATCTCTCGTAAGCCCTTTCTTTGAAGATTTCTTCTTCACTTGAGAAGCCTGTTTCTCTTGTTTCACTGCTGCATCCTTAGCTTCTTGAACCCCATCATCATCCACTGCAGTGCCTTAGGAAAGTCGTACACAGATCATATGTTTCAAATGATTACACGAAGAAAAAAAAACAGATGGAATACTAATAATTTTGCTACAATAAATACATTTAAATTAAACACTGAAATATAATGAAAGTATTGCATATATTCATATTTAGGGAGGGCTAAAAATGTGTAAAACTATCAAAATCATGAGATCTTTTTTTCACCATCACAATAGCTTCTTATATACACTACATACATGAGAAAGTAAAAATGTATTCCGTTCACCAGTGAAAGATCAGGAAGTTAATAATGTCCTAAAATGTGGCGGTAGTAGTGGTGGCTGTGGGGGGTGGTGATGATAATTCTTATCAACAGAGATGGTTGTGTGGCAAAGAAATTGAACTATTCATTCAACAGAATGTAATGTGATGTAACCTTGCCATTGTGTTTATTTGCCAGACATCATGGCTCTCACATGGTAGATAAACCACCTGCCTCTGTTGGGATATAATAAAGTAATTCCATTCACACACATCGGGAGACTAATGCATTCTTAGTTCGGCAAGCATGACCTGGTATAATTTCTCCTGCTCCAATTCTGAGGCATTAGTCATTAAATCTGATAAAGCTAAGGATGTATGCAGCAAAGCAAGAATGACAGATGTGCATGGAATGATTTACAAAGCAAAACTGCATCAACAGCATGTTTTAAATTCACGCCTGACATGTAACACACTTAAGAACTGTATAACCTATGTCTGGACTTGCAAGCATGGGAGATGGGCTTGCACAATAAGAATAATGAAAATGATCATCAATCATGAGAATTTCTAAACATCTGTGAAAATCCACTATTGCCATAAACTATTTCATATTTAGAGACACTTGTCTCCATGATAACAACATAAGAAATTAAATGCCAATATGTACAAAGTGTTTATGGAAAATCAGAATCATCTTTAACCTCTCCTGAGCAGAAACTAAGGCTGATAGTCAACCCCAAATGTGGAAACCACCTGTATCTCAAATTTACAACTGCCATATGAAGTTATCAGAAGTCATAAAAAATTACATCACTGTTCAGGGGAAATCTTTATGGTATCACAGACCCAATTTTTTGGTAGGAGTTATGCTTGGTATGTGGGGAAATTTCTGTTCTTTGAGGATATGAAGTAGTATTTACAAAAAAGTAAAAGTAAAGCTACCCCTATAACAGGCCATGGAGGCCCAAAGGGTTGTGAGAAGTTGACAACCTTACACACTGGCTGCCCTTTGCTACCAGGAATATTCCTGGTACTCATTTCTGTTAGAGGCTAAGTCGACCCCAGGACCATAAAGCAGCTGGAAGGTTTAGATTAATTTAAAAAACCAACGACCACATCAGGAATCGCGAACCCTCAACGTTCCGGCTTTTAGCACTGTGCCGCAACCAACTATGCTATAATTGCATGCCCCCAAAGTGGTATTTATAGATATGTTTTGTAGTCACAGTTCATTCAGTTTTGTTGTGTGTGTCGATCATGGCAAGGAGGAAACTGCAGAACAATGAAGGGATACTGATTATTTTAGATATTCATAATAAAAAAAAACATTAAACTTTATTTGCAGTGACATTATAATTGATGTTGATGTCAGTGACAACGACAGTAGGACAGGTAAGAGTGAGAGGACAGACTGTAGGCATCAAATGGAGTGAGTTTACTCATTTGGATCTTGGGCCTAGCGGAACTACCCCGCTTCATAATATTGAACATGAAGCAGTTGTACCAACATGTTCTGACTGAAGAACTGAGCCTAATGACTATTTTTACCTTCTTTTGACCAAGATTTACTGGGCCTTATCCTACTGAATGGAATCAGAAAGAGAAGCAGAACATGATCAGCCTGTAGTGATTTAGAATCACAGACTAGTCACCACCAATCCTACCTGATTTCAAGGCGCTGCTTTGTGTTGTTACAATCATGAACCCACATACGACTAATTTTAATGATTACTTCCCTCAGACACAGGGAAACAAAATACCATTCTCTTCAGGTAAGATCCCATGTGAGTTTCAGCCCTCATTTTTGAACCTACTTGCAGCACATGAGGACCAAGAGCAACTCAAAATGGAGGACCAAATGAAATCAGCATTGTGGGGGGGGGGGAAATTGGTCAAAGTACTTCATTATTTGCCTAGTACCACTGCTGTTGAAACCACAGTATCTTCAAAACACATCAACCTATAAAGCCAGTAAAGTTTTGATTGAACATGTTGGAATATGACAGCAGTAACGGGAATATATATAACTTCAAGTCACACATTTGTAAAACAAAAAATGAGAACCTGGTTCTACTGAAAGCTACCTGAGTAGTAAAACAATTGTATTCTGTTCTTATTAAAGACTTACTAACACACCTTCATGATACCATGCCTTCACAGACACCAAATACCATCTCAGTAGGCTATGAGCTATTGAGCTATTAAGTATAGACATGGTAACGACATGCACAGTACAAACTAGAAAAGGAGAGCCTGAAAACTACAAAAGAAAAATTGCTGGAAATATGGCAAGCTGATATGCTTTCATTTATAGGCAATGAAGGCCTGCTGAAGCTTTAAGGGATAAAAAAGTTCTTTTTCTCACTACTTTTCACACATGGAGTCAAAATGGGGTGACAGAAGTTCCCTCTAAGATTTAAAAATAAATAAAACAAATATAGTGCCAGACTACCCTAAACACACATGAGGAGTTGACCGTAGTGACCATCATATTGCCTCTTATTGGGTTATGACAACAAAAAAGTGGTACACAAAAATGTTCTGCTTCTTGGCAGTGAATATAGTGAATTCACACTTATTTATGTCCTGGTTCAGGAATTATACAGTAGGAGACCTTTAACTCACAAGAAGTTAAGGCCATATCCCTAGCTCATAAAGAATGACCACTATGAACACCAATGGCCAACTGATGGCCTGACTGAGGTAAGGTTAATGGTGAGGCTCATATTACTGACAGAATGGAAATCAGATCTATAGCCTATGTCATGCATAAAGTGAAGAAACTGCAGAAAAAGACAATATATTACTGCAGATGTACAATCAAAAGCCATTCTTACAGATGAGCAAGTAATCTGAATGGTACCATACAGTTAAAAACTTATGAGAAAGTTTTATATAGCATGTACATACTGAATATACCAGAGTTAGCACCATCAGTGACACACGATGTGATGAAATGTACCTCTTTACTTAATACAAATTGGTTTATTTTCAATTATGAGAAATAGTAAAGAAATTCACTCTTGAATTTAACATGTGAGCAGAAAACTTGCTTTCAAACATGTAAAACCAATATAACTGGGTTGTCTTGTATGAAAGCAATGACAAACTTGTGAGAAATACAATAAACTCTGGTGAGTACTAAACGTGTGAGACATATCATTTTAACCAGAACAAATCTGCATTAACAACTTTGCATCATGTGATCATAGCTCTGCTGGCAAATAGAACATCTACAAAGCAAAACTCATTCTCCATAAAATATCTCTGACTTTTAGTCATTCTGAATAGTTTTATACATCGTTTCAATAAAATTAATTTTTTACAAAAGAAATTCTGCTTAGAGACAAAAAAACACTTGGGAAGAGTCCAAAGAGAGAATGTACAATAGTTATGGAATTTGTACACTAAATTTGGCCAATGTACAAGATCGAAGATGGTGGCCAAAAAAGATCAATGCTCATATACCATTTTATGATGAAGAAATTTGTCCAAAAGATTTTGACTGAGTAACAGATAGGTGATTCATGGATTCTTAGAGAAGCTGGCTGAGAAAAATGTTCACAAACTATTACCACTGAAATACCTTCCTGAAATAATTCCAGTATGTCAAGTGAATGTGAAAGGAGATTTTCACAGATAAATCTAACAGTAACAAAAACATGACAACACAATACTGGCACTGTTGTTCATCAGACTTGCTGGATATTTTCTTATTTAGTTTGATCTGACAAAATAAGTTCTATATGAAAAGCAAACAACATAACCAAGACAAGATACCACTACAAGAACGACATAAATCTGGAACCTCTTATAAATTTCTATATTTTGTAGCTTTATTTTTATCAAGTACTTCTAGCTTATGCACAGAAACAATCTGAACACTGTAAGCCATAAGGTATGGTAACTGCCAGAACTCTGGCATTATGGTAAGTAAAATTTATCTTGGCAGTACAGTACACATTCACTGAAAGATCTGGACTATAAAAATGCCTTAACATGTACATGACATATAAGAACCCTATTTTCCAATTAAGAAAAGCTCATTTCAGTTAGCAATCCAGGGTTTCATTTCAAGGCAACAATGTTTTTGGTATAAATATTTAATAACAAATCCTAATGTTATTTCTGATAGCAAATTTCCAAGAATACACATTTGGCATGCTTTGCTCCCAATGTTGTAGCCTCACACTGAACAGCCCACTTCTACTGTTTAAAACACCAAACATTTTTTTTTTCATTTACTTCTGGAAAAGGCACATTCTTGTTTGGTTTTGTGGTCAAGATGCAATAACCTTGTATACCAGTGTAAAACAATCTTTTATGCTGTGATGAATGTAATTATTTATCATCTCTTAAATGTAATTTAGAGTAATACGCGTGTCATAGTAATCAGTGCCTTTGACTAAATATTTGTCGGGAAAGTGTAACAAATCCATTAACTTTCAAGAGCATGACCTTTCTTTACTGAACGTGATATAATTGCAGATTTTAAATTTTCAAAAATTTTGATATTACACTGATTTGATGTTTATGTATCACCAAACAATGGGGTTTTCTGTAGCGTTAGATGCATACATGCAATTTTTGACATATATGTATTTGTAACAGAAAAGAATCTTTGAACATGAAGCACTGTATAATTGACCGTTTTCTTCTGATGAACAACTGATTACAATTAGAGTATTCTAGATGTGACTCCTATTTCAAAAACCACAATATAGGAAATGTTAATTTTACTACATCTCTACATACTTTATAAAAACATTATTTCATGGTACATGACCGTTTAATTACTTTAGACTGTTAAAAAGCCCCATACACATGATCACCATGGTCCCACACTCCCCTAAGACCAGTGCTTGTTTTACAGATTTAAAATCCCCATATTTGTTCATATTTTTATTATCTTCAAATATGAGTTCTGGTACTTTTCCCGTATTGCGACAACCTTGTACTTACAGGTACACCATGATTTATGCAACAGTTGTGTTAAAAAAAAAAAGCTGCATGCGATGAAATGGCATATATTCAATCAGACAGGCCAAATTTTCCCTCCTCCCTTCACATTCCTCCTCTACCACCCATACAACAGTTCACTTTCCATCCTCTCCACCTCTTTCAATTGACCAGCAAGCAATTCCCACTAAAGTGAGTCCTTACTTACTTACTTATGGAGCTGAGCCCTTCGTGAGGAGCCGCCAAATTTGCAGTCACTCTAAAACTTCCCCCAGCATTTTATGGAACCCGAAGGTCCATTACCATCCTCACAAGAGCCCTCCATTGGTCCCTATCCTGAGCCAGAACAATCCAATCCATACCATCCCATCCTATCTTTCTAAGATCCATTTTAATATTGTCCACCCACCTATGCCTTGGTCTTCCCAGCGGTCTCTTTCCTTCTGGCTTTCCCACTAATATCCCATATACATTCCTCTTCTCCCCCATTTGTGCTACATGCCCTGCCCACCTCATCTTCCTTGAAGTGAGTGCTATTAATTGAAAATGATCTAAATTAATCTTGTAAGGAATACATCCTGTTGTGTGTTAGTACTATGTATGAGTTTTAATTTTTTTTCTGTCAAACACAACAAACACCAAATAACTTGCTCACATTCTGCTGTGCATAACTGAGTTTACTGGTAGTACAACAGAATGTGAGTGAGTTATTTGGTGTTCCTTGTGTTTGACAGAAAAAACGAAAACGCATATATGATCTAAATTAATTGAATGCACCACAATTAAAGGCCATTTTAAAACTCACACGTACAACGAAGTATCTGTACTATGAAAAAATAGGAAGTCCATGAAGGTTAACTGTTCAGTAAGTTCTAAACTATCAGAATTTCAAAATCATTCAATACTGCATCTAACAACATTTTATCACAGCCCTCAAAACCAAACCGTTTCATCGCTGTTTTGGAGAATAACATATTTTTAAGATGTCTCCCAGCAGTAAATAATAAGGAACAACATATTGTGGCATATTTGTTCTAGGCAAGAACTGCGAAGTCAACAGACAGCTGTTACTAAGTAATGACTTCACAAACAAGCATGTTCCCATGGCAACAACTGGAAAAAACAATAATGGGAAGCAGTGTTTTCTACAAGGTCTGTGCCAAGATGTTATAAGGAGGACAAGTCTAGAGACAGTTAGTTATTTAGTCAATTAAGAGTCGTCGTAGCTAGGCCAAGGGACAGTTCGGGAATCCTGAGGAAGGAGAATGTCTGCTGTTGGAAGTCGCTACCAAGCAACAGCTAGTGATATCATGACTGTGGACATTAGTGTGTGTGTAAAAGTGAACTGTAAAGTGTAGCCACATGCCATATCAAGAGAGTCCAATAAATCCGATCACCAATCCAAACCCCGTCGATAGTCACTCTATCACGTGACAACATTTCACTTCTCCACAGTACACACTGATCTACCAATCTATGAGAATGAATTTCATCATCACAAAAAAGAACTTCAATCACATTAAAAAAAATGTGCTTTTCTGCAATGTATGACACAAACTCCGTCCTAAGTGCAACAATTTATTGTAGTTCTGTTGTCTTCTTTTTGTCTACACTACATGTTTCAGCCATAAATGGCCATCATCAGGCATATTTCTCTCGCATAGCTGTTACACTGCACGTAGTTTAAACTTTAAAAACACCAGCTTTCTTAATTGTTCATTTCTCTGTTGTTAATAGGTCCTGATATATCAGAATCCTCTTGCTGATATTGATTGAGTGTAACAGGATGCTTAAATATAATTTTGTGTTTTTCTGCAGTTCAGTCCCATTATATTATACACCGTCTAACACAGTGCTTCAGGAAAGATACAGTTTCTGCAATGATGTATTTGAAACAATGGCCAATGTCTAAAATAACAGTCATATTTATCATTACTTGCCATCATCAGAAACATTTTGACTCAGATCAGTCTCAATTAAAATTGTAAGATGATAGTTATAATTAGAAACAAACAGGATCATTCTGGGCACAATACTTCACATAGTCGGTGTGTGTGTATACACACACAGACACACAGAGTGAAGTTTAATTCGATACATACAAAATTAAACTTTACTAAAATTAGAAACTCAACAGTTCTATCAACATACTATGTTATTCATAACAAGCTGTTTCGTTTCCATGAATTTGCTACCCAGAAAGTTTAAATAAAAAACCTACATGCAAGTTCCTAAGTTTGTTCTCTGTCGTCACACATTTTCAATTATTACAAAATGGCACCAGATCATTATTTAAAAGAACTAATAGTGACTTTGCTACAAGAAAAGGAATGAAAACTTGCAACACACACAATCTTCAGCAATAGAAAGGAATAAATTTAATGAAGAATCCTCATTTTAGTTCGAATACTGACTCACAAACTTACAAAAAATCAAAAGATCTTACAACTTCACAAAAATGTCAGAACTAATAAATGCCCGATCACATCCACTGTTACTGTAATTCAGACACAAGTCAAACCCAAATATTCCTGTAGAAAGTTGTTCTCATATGGCTCAGACTAGTATTAAACTCCTGAATGTGGTTACAAGCATGTTTCATTTTATACATGTGGGCTCCTCCATTAATTCCTTCACTCTGTAACGTTTAAATTCTAAACTTACAACAATATGAAAGCCTTACATACCTGCAAATACCTTTGCACTACCAGTATTCACTTTTGGCACCATTTTCTTCTGGAAACCAAAAGACAATCCTGCTCCACCACCTTGTTTTGTCATGGAGAAAGCAAGCAACCTCTTCTTAGCTTGGGCCTTCCCGAGCACAGTAGTTTTAGGTCCAAATGAATGAGCACGAGGAGGTTCAGACTTTGGTGGAGGAGGAGTGATAGGAATATCATCCTCAGCAGTTGCACGGCTTGGTGAATACCTATAATAAATTTGTACTTATGGAGAATACTGTTACATGGGCAAAATTTAATACCAAACCACATGTTTTCACACACCAACCTATTTGGATCATCTGCTTGCTCAATATTTGCTTCTGCTGTTTGCTGAGGTAGTGCTGCTTCTGGTGGTAAGACTGGTGCTGCTATTGGCAGTGCAGTTGGTGGAATTGGGGGAGGGAAAGCAGCAGTGTTGAACTGCAAACCACATGATGGTAGAGGAATGTTATCACACTGTGGAAATCCCGATGAACCTTGCCCATCATGCAGCCCAGGGGGTTGAGACTCCTCTGGTAGGGGGATATCCATGATAATTCACTTGATAATCACTAGAAATATAAATGATTGGGTATCAGTGCTGAACTTATAATCACGATTATAATTTTACTCCCAAAACCTACATAAGCATATTATAACAAAACTGCCAGTATAACTTACGTATTACAGAATTATGAACATTGCAGTCGGCCTTATTAACGGTTCAACTAAGCAGTTTACCAACACCCATCACCTCTGATAAAACCTTGCGAAGTCAGAAGCAGCGGCTCCTAACATGTAAAACACCGATTATAAACGGACATTATAAAAGTTGCATGGCTTAGTACAGAAAACTGTTTTATAGTTATACAGAACAGTTGAATATGCTAACATTAACCTGTTCAGTTGGTTACTTTATTTATCTCGTCATTGTAAACAATACGCAACTTTCCACCATAAGCATACCAATACGCTTTGCAACACATTGCAGTCCAATGTTGGCAATACGATGCATATAAACTGCCATCTGGTAACACACACCAAGTATTACGAATCTGTGATAAGGAAAGGATTTAACATGGAGGGAAGCTCAAAACGGGGAACAATTGAGTCATCATGGTCATCATCATTATCATTAACATTGCAAGGACGACGATGAAGTTCATGATGCTTTGGACAAGGGNGTATTACCACATAATTCTACTTTGCCTATTACTTTGTGAAACAACAGCTTCTTAATTGTGTATAGATTTATGAATGATACTGTGGAATAATTATAAGGAATTTCTTGTTTGCGTGAAATTCAAAGGCTTCCAAATTAGGCACACCAAATGAATTGTGCTTCTTCTGCCGAGTTGCTCATTGCATTTATTTATACACTGACTTGTTCTACAACGATGTTCAAAGGAATGCATACACTTTATCAGTCATACCCATCTGTCTATCCATCCATCCATCCATTCATCCACCAGAAAAGAGAGCTGCAGGAAGGGGTCATGCCCAATCCAAACGCAACAGGAAACGCTATTTTGACAACATACCTCGATGTCAACCGCAAAGATAGAACCGAAAACAAATATATCAAAATTAAAAAGAACCGTAGAAAGTTTACTTCAGTATTGTCTAAAATATTATATCGATTCGAAATTTGCGCCATGTAACTTGATACGTACGCCACTCTTTGCTATGATGGCTATGATTTCCATAGTTGCATGCCGGGGTAACTATATTGATGTCTCCTGGAGAGAGGGACTTGAAAAGTGAAGGTACAGACATAACCACGGCTCTTTGGCTATTCTGGATTTGACGAGTGGATTGCTGCTCATTTCCTAAAAAGAAATATTGCCAATATAAGCTGAATTAAATGTCAGACGAATATGCAATATACTTTTAGCCTCGGATTGTGTGTTGTTAACTCGAACGACATACCATCGGACACGAATTACTGAAGTCTTCGGATGCCAGAGATGAAAACGAAAATTGGGACTTGAGGCTTTCCACGTCTCGAGCTGATTGAATTGTATCGTTCTCTCACTCTCGTAGCCAAAGAGATAGGTAGGCTGCAAATCATGTGGTAGAGCATTTCTGTCAATAGATGGCACATGTTTTCCAAGTGGAACTATGAACTTGGTCAATGATATCAATGATAGATGGCAGAAAGTTGTGATAATTTGTGGGTAGTTGTGGTACTCGTATGCAACGATTTGATGGAAGTTGTTGCCCATCTCGTTGACGTTTGAAATGTGGTAACAGAACCTTCATAGCCGACATTTTTCCCGTGTATATAATATAATTGCCTGCGCTAAAGGTGTCTGCGCACTGTCTTCGCTCGCTCGGAAACCGGGATCGTGGGTTCGAATCCCACTCAGGGCATGGATGTTTGTGTGCGTTTTTCTGTGTTTGTGTACAGGTAGAGGCCTTGCGACAAGCTGATCACCCGCCCAAGGAGTCCTACCGAATGTCTAAGATCTAGTAAACCGAAGTGAAACGGAGAGTTTCATGGAGGTAGGCCTAGGCCCACTGGGGCTGTAGTGCCAAGAAAAAAAAAAAAGTGAGTAGATGTCGGCTGATGGTTAATTATGAAAATGCCATCTTATGGAATGTAACTTCGTGTAGTCCGGCATAAGTTCATTGACATTTCGGAGGGGGACACCTACCACCTGCCTTTTGCTGGTTACGTGCCTCTCTTTAATTTTGGAGTGTGAAGATGAGAAGAGTACGTGACCCCGAAATGTTGGTAAACCTATACCGGATTACAGGGCACATCCGAGACCATAGTAATCTTTGTAGTCATTATCATTTATTATCATTTAACAGTCCATACATACATAACAGACTTGGCCCATATCATGTAACAATGATCTAGTGAGAACGAAATAAATAAATAGGTATTACAACCATTTGGATAAGGAAATTGTCAGTTTTACATCTAATTCTCGTGCATATCTTTACAGTATGCACTGTACCACCCTAATATAGGGGGTTTGTCATCTGAATAATATTATCTAGATCCAGTTACCATTAATTTCATTGTCTTTACACCAATACAACAAATTAATCAGCTATATATTACATTTACACACTTGAAAAATCAAAAGACGCAAATTCATCTGCTGAATAAAAGGAATGTTTCAGCAAAAAAGATTTTAATTCCTTTTTAAATGAGTTAAAATTTTCCCTTTATTTTATTTGATCGGGGACCTTATTATACAAACTAATTCCCACATTTATCACACTCCTCTTAAAAAGAGCTGTATTACAGTGCTGTACATGAAAATTAAATTTTCTTCATGTGTTATAATTATGAATGTCCCAATTTATTGCCATAAAAGCCTTGTATTTTTTGATAAAGCATGTCACCTCCAATATATACAGAGAAGGCAATGTTAAAACATTGCAATCTTTAAAAATTTGTCTACATGACGTGCGACTACTAATACCACTAATCACTCGAAGAACCCACTTTTGCAATTGAAAAATGCTTTTACTTTCCCCATCCCCACCCCACAATAAGATACCATTTCTCATACATGACTCAAAATTTGAAAAATAAATAATTTTTATCATATATGGACTCATTATTTCTTTTAATATTTTCACCATATAAATTACTTTGCATAGCTTTGCTTTTAGAAATTGAGCATGAGCGCAACATTTTAGGGTTTCTGTCATGTGAATTCCAAAAAATCTCAGTTCAGACTGATATACTATTCCTGTATTATTAAAAACTATTTGTGGTCTTAACGGATCTCTCCGCTGTTTTGAATGAAATGACATGACAGATGTCTTTTTAGCATTTATTATAAGGTTATTTTTTTAAACCATATTTCTAATTCTTTCATAACGTTCATTATTTTATATTGAAGCTCAAGTTCATCTTTTCCAGTAATTAATAAATTGGTATCATCTGCATATAAAACCAGCTTTGCTGGAGTCTTCGTGATGGCATAATTTTAGTCGTGTCTAAATTTCGATCCTGATTGAGATCCCTGCTAGAATCTTTAATGTCACCCACAAGATGTGGACTGACATTCTCTTGGGAAATCAGTGAAGTCAGAGTGTGATCAGTCTCATTCAAGAGGAGCTGGGACTTCCTGTCCCAATCACTCCTATCAACAATCTCCACACAAGGGTCACGTTATTGACTAAATTACTCTGCGCATCACCCAGACAACTCCACTTTAACACAATTGGGACCGATTTGTTTATGCTAAACAGCAGTGGCGGCTCGTAGCTAAAATTAGTGGGGGTGCTGTTCCAGAAGCGCGCAGTTCCATACAAAGATTTGGCTACTGACATTAAGCTTAAGGATTATATATTGTATTGTACAAGTATAAAGAAAGAATTAAAGAAAAAAGGACTCATTATATAAATGTTATCGATAATATCATGTGGAAATTGGGGGTGCTGCAGTTCCGCAGTGCCTATACATGGGCTGCCCCTGCTAAACAGATAATTTACCACTGTTGCTGCTCTTCTGGCAGTATGCTCTCCCTTGAGAGTTTAAATGCACTCCATGTCTTGTGAATAAGTCCCGAGCTGAGTACTGTTACTACAGAAAGGTTTAAATAAACCTTTTTTAGTTTCTCAAGTTTTCTATTAAACACTCAAACTTCATCATTTACACAGGAGTTTGGTGAAAGGTCATATCTGGGTGGGACATTTATCACAATAACATTTGTGTGATTAAGAGAACTGATTATCTGTTTTAATGCTCACATTCCCAGATTAAGACTCACTGTTGTGTGAACACTGAATGTAGACTTACCATAACCCCTCCCCCAACCGACATACTTTATTAATACAATTGATTATGGAAATTATTGCTGGACATGATTATATTGTTTCCCTGGTGTGGTGGCAGTGGTTTGAAGCCCTTACAGTCAGTGATATTCGATTACTAGCATTTCAATGCAGTGTTAACAGTGTGTTATACTGTTAACAGTGTTAACAGTATAACACACGCAGTCGCAGGAGCACGATACAACAAAAGCACAACACACAAGATAGTGAAGGAGTGCTCCAACAAAGGAGAATGGGCGTGACTGACGTAGTGAGGGGCGACGTAGCGATGTGATATCCTGAACAATTTTAATATTTTTAACGTTTGACAATGTATATGATAGATACATATTTTAGTTATTTTAATGTGAGAACATGGCATGCAATGAACTGGTTTGACGTGGATAAGTAAGCACCTGAAGATGGCATTATTATGCCGAAACATGTAGTGCGAGGGAGAGAAGGAGATAAATGAGTGTATGCACTGCAAGACGGATTAAATAAATCATGGACTTAAATCAGTGCAACAGGACGCTAAAATATAACATTGTTAAATTCTTTCTGAAAAAGTTGGGCAAACAAATACATGAAAGAAAAAATGGTAGGAACATTTACAGAGGATGCCATCAGAAAGAGCCCCAAGGAAACTTTTATGTTAACATCTGACAGGAAGATATGCATCAAGAAAGCCAAGAAGAAGACAGCTTGATATTTAAAGATGGAACAGGCTGAGAAGCTGAACCCATTTACATTTACATGTATTTTCACTTCATAGATCCAATCACCTCCCCATAGGGCTGGATATAAAACATGTCACACATTACAAATTCATGATGACTATGCATCATGTGTCTTTTGTCCAATAAAATATATAATCAGGCCTCATGCAGACAGCACAAGTTGTCAAGACAACACACATAGGCCGTGAAAAAACCACTGTTACATTCGACCCTGAACAAAATCACTCATATTTCCAACCATAACAACTCTATGCTGTGCAATTGCAGCACATTGGCCAGCCATGTCATCAGTACAGTTTCATTGTAACATACAATTAAAATTCATAACAAACAGTCATCAAACATACTGCCACACTACAACAAGCAAGTCTTAACAACACATAATACAAGCACACAGACCATTTATTAACTCTTAAAATTTGAGCCCCTTGCATGCTCAACAAATTT